TTGTGACTGGGATGTTGAGGATCACAAAACAGGGTGTGAATAACCATGCAAACTTACATGGTGCCCCCAATGTTACAATTACCTATTCGATGTGCCGGTTAACCACACACGCTCAACCGAACTATGACATACATTGAGTCACCCTTTGCCACCTTTGCTTAGAACCATTTAGTGTGTCGGTTAACCACACACGCTCCATTAACGTCTTCGCAAGGGTACAAAGTGTAATTTCATGGAATTACATCAAATTCACTTTTTCCTAAAGTAACTAAGATTGGGAATTTTGTATAAACATTTAGCTACTTCATACTTCATTATACTTTTAATGGAAAGGGTTTGCCCTATCCTACCCGTTCGGCTAACGACCCTCCACCAATCAAGGAAGCGGTGGGTGAGAGTGGACACCCATTAAACGATCATTTTATAGGTCATAACCTTATACCCCCTTATTGATCGGCTTCGTGAATGAGGCTTACTAACGGACTAGCAGTTTAAGTTATACATATATAATATTAGACTTTTAATGTTATATATAGTATAAGGGTATATTTTACACTTTTAAAATACTAGGTGGTCTAATTTAATAAATTGCACTTTTAATTTAATTAAATGTAAAGCATATCACTATGGATTTGTTAACTTTCTATTAATTATACACTTAATTAATTTAATAAAACCATAAGGTTGCACCTCCAATGGATTCAGAAAGCTTAGTGCCTGAAGTGTTGCACCTCCAACGGAGTCACAAACACCATAAGCAATAAGGATGAAGAATGAAGAAAAGAAGAACACCAAAAACGTCCATAAACCCTCTTGGAAAGATTAGCCACTTTTTTGGGGCCTTAGGGGTCTTTATATACTTAGGCTATTAGGGTTTTGCACTTAGGAAACCATAATCTGATTGCTTAAGCCCTAAAAAAGCCCATGGACTCCTTTTATCATATCCCTTGGACGAATTCCTTATGGGCTTCCCATAGAATTCATCCAACCTATATTATTAGGTAATCCGTAGCCCAATTGCAATTATCTTATAATTACAATTCCAGTCCCCTTAAGTTTAATTAATCTATTTTAGTCACAAAATTAATTCTTGACTAATATTAATTAAACAATATGATTTCTCCATTAATATATTATTCTTATAATATATTAATAAAACATAATTAATCCTCTCTCTCCATAATTCATCCTATCAAGTTGCTTTGGTGAAGGCAACCCAAAAGGACCATGCACCATCGGGTCAAGTACATACCAAAATAGTTATGGACTTAAACACTAATCCAACAACATTGTCATTTAACTGGATCAATATTCCTAAATTAAAAAGACCATGAAAATACTTAGGTGTAGTGAATGTATGTATGTGTGGACTTGTGATTCAAGTCTGATGTATTGTATCATGGGAATTTTAATGTGATCGCATATGGACTAAATGGTCAATATGATATTTAGTTTTGCTACTTAAAAAAGAAGCAACAAATTACAAAAATGTTCTATTGGATCATTTATGTAGGATAAACATGACTTGTTTTTTTTTATTACAATTAAACAAAACCTAAATAAGAAACTTGGCTTTTTTTATAACTTTAAACCCAATTTTGTCTAGATTTAGGTTTTTTTTGGATTTATAATATAATTTTCCATAATTTTATAAACAATACTAATATAATATAGAAAAATATGTCATTTGCAATAAATAGTCAAGACGACATAGAGATATGTCAATAATTGTAAATTTTAGTGGAAATACACAAAGGGAGAGAAGGGGGGGGGGGGGGTTGGAGGGTGGGGTATGTTCTTTGTTTTAAATTTTAAAATATTTAAGATGTTTTTGCAAACTATTTGATAGCAGGAAGTTGAAGCTTTTATTTATACATAAGTGTTTGCCAAAGATTGTTGTTAGCTTTTATTTGTATTAAATTAGTTAAAAACTAAAAAAAAAAGCTCCCAATAATTACTTGATTTCAAATTTGAAGGTTTTATTTAAAATAAAAACTAATAACTCCTACTATCAAATAAACTTTTGTTTTTTTAGTGTTTTTAAGCTAAAAATCATGTGTCAAACACACAATAAATTTTATATATATATATATATATATATATATATATATATATATATATATATATATATATATATATATATATATAGGCTTAAGTTATTCTATTTAAACTAATTATTGTGTTATTGTATGCATAAATATGGACCAATCCTTTTATTTATTTTAAGAAAGTGATTAATACATATTATTAAATTAAAGATAATTAAAAAATACCATTTAATTTCATTCTAAGAGTATTTTCGACAATTGAGATAAATTCAGAAAAGGAAAATTCCATATTTTTTGGGATAATTAACTCTCTTGATTTTAAAATTCTAATTTTTTTAGTTACTTTAATTTTTATTATAACGTAATTTTTATAATTAAACGCGATTTTATTCTGTTAGAATCATATTCTCTAGGAATTTCAGGATATATATTTCTATTAGAATGATATTCTATTAGAATGCCAACACCGACTAATAACCAATTTTTGGATACAACTTCAAATTTTTCATTACATTCTTAAAAATGTAAAAACTTTATATAATAGTCTATGACAATGAAATACTCACTAATAACAAATAAAACCATGTATATTATTCGACCCGAATATTTTAGCAGAATATATTATTACATATACTTCTATCATTCTATTGTAGGTTATTCTATCAGAAGAATAGCTCTTTCCTTTGTGAAGACCAATGACAATTGTTCAGCCATCATCTAATCTTCAAGCCCTTGATCATCAATGAAATTATACGTTTTACCAAAATAACTGCCATGAATCAAATCATGTAATAATAATATTCTCTAAGAATGCTTTTGCATGGAAAATAAATAACACAAAATTTTAGTAAATCTGATAGAATGAATACCACATGGTATGGTCAGATTATTTTTCAGGAGCTTCCACAAACACCTGTCATGCATCATAATAAGCTCTATGACAAATTTCACCAAAAGATTGTTAATTTGCAAATTCTAACAGACCTGAAGTGAAAATAACATGAATTGCAAGTATGTAAGCTAGCTTGCTTCTATGATTCAATAATAGGCTACAAATCAGTATATATTAAAGGTGATGTGTACACATCAATTCAGTGAATGTTTTATTGAGAAGACAAGGAATGAAAATACACATATACCCTTGTAGTACCATGTCTTGAATTGATAAATGAATTACGAGTTCATTGAAGCACCAAAGGCAGGGTTTTCTCTAAGGGGCTGAAACGAGAGTCAAGTGTGATAAATAACCTCCTGAGTCGTGAAGATCCGATACCACCCCGGGCAGGTAAAAATCCTAAGACTGCTATCATCACTAAGCACCCGAGTGAGATACCACTCCAATCGCGCCGACAATCCAAGATCATCAACGGTCAGCCATAGGAGGGCCTGAGGAATACTGAACTGCTTGGATAGTAGAGCAATCAACCGGGAAACGAAGAAGCTCTGATGCTCAATATGTATATCATCTGTGAACTGTAGAAATTGATACGATGGCTAGTTAGGCTGTAACTGACTAGCCCTCTGCGACTTGATCGAGACATAACCTGAGAAAAATAGGGCAAGAAAGTTAGAATTAAAGTAATATAAGTAAAAGGATTGCAAAATAACAGAAAATATTGTTCGTGTGTGTCAAGAACTGCACCATGCGCAGTATGAAGATGCATCGCGTGCAATGAAAATGCCCGACGTGCTTCAAGAACAAGACAAACATTCGATACCAAAAGCCCCCGAAATCGTCCAAAATTCAACCTAGAATCTATAGGGGAATGTTAGGTGAAGCTTATACTAGTAGAATACACCATCAATTTAATCAAAAACACCATGAATCGATGGATTTAGCAAAACCCTAGGTTTTACCCCAAAAATGAAACCTCAAATTAAGGATAGATTAACAGATTAAAGGAGAAATCAAGCATTGGTGTTTAGTAATCGGTAGTTAAACTAGACATTTAGCTAATCAATTTCGAGTATTACAAGCCAAAGTGGCAAAATACTATACACCCTCAAAAATGCTAAATACAAAATCATTGGTTGTTATGAACTAAGTAGAAGTTAAAATATGCAGTAGAGGTACCTTGAAAGTAGGAGGAATCGAAGAATCAAAGCTCGAAAATGACAAACGCACGACGTGCTCTTCGCGTGTGGGATCCAGTCGAGTGTGGGGACCATTCAAACTATTGGAAGCATGTGTTGAATAAAGCCAAAATTCATCATTTAATATTGATCTGATGAAGGTGCGTGCGCCAAAGATCTCTACAAGTTTGGAGATTGACCTTTCTTCACATTTCATTTGATCTTTGATTGATTGTAAAAGGTCGATGTTTTTGTCTAGGGTTTTAAAGGGTAAATGCAAACGATTTTCCCTAAATTAAAGGGTTTATGATTTGAATAACTAATCATTAAAATTAATTAAAAGCTAAGATTACAATTTTACCCCTATCTAGGTTTTTAAAATGATTGTTCCATATTTATGACACAATAACATAATAATTACTTTAAACACCTAAACCTGAACCTCTCTCTCTCTCTCTCTTTATATATATATATATATATATATATATATATATATATATATATATCCTTAAAAAAAAAAATATCCCAAAAAAAGATATTGGTCTTTTATTACATTTCAATTGTTAAGTTCCTTTTTTTGTTGGGTTTCCTTTTTTTTCATACCCATATAATCATGGTAGCTTTTTGGACTAGAAATATAAAATTAAAACTTAAAGTACCAAAGATGTCTCTCAATGTATAAAGTCTAGGGATGATTTTTTATTATGGTATCTATTTGGACTAGAAGTATAAAATTAAAAGTTTAATTACGAAAGATGTCTGTCCATGTATAGACTAGGGATGATTTTTGTAAACTTACTCTCGACGACGATAACTTGGGAAATATCGGAGGAACATAAAAGCCATGGCAACAAAGAACCCCTGCTAAAACCCTTTTCCATGGCAGTTTCTTCTTCTTCTTCTTCTTCTTCTTCTTCTCTGTTGAACTATCTCTCCTCCCTTTCTCTATCTTCTTCTTCACCCCCGCCGACTACCATTTCTATCACCCCTGCCTCCTCTTCCAGTAACGCACCGTCATCGAAGACCCTGACGATCAGACAAACTCTGATAACCCCCGTAAATCGTGAAGTCTGTCCTGATCTCCAAACAGTTATGTTTCCCGCGCTCGCGTTTTCAAATACATTATGTTTCAAATCGGCATACAACGTTCAGGTGATCGCGTATCCTGATGAATCGGAAGATAGTCTGATCGGTCGGTTCCGAAGAGAGGTTTTCAGAGCAAATATTATACAAGAGGCGAAACGCAGGAGGTTCTTCGAGACTAATCAGGAGAAGCGAAAACGGAAAATTCGTGATGCTGCTAGACGAAGAGCCAGAAGGTAATGATTTTCCTTCGTTAGTTCGTTTCCGATTATTAAATCTACTGCGTACATATACATTATATCTGGTGGATCTTGTTTAACTTCAGCTCAGAATGAGGATTTTGTTAGTCAAGTTTTTAGCTGATAGTCTCGAATTAATATCTACTCAAAAACTCGAATCAAGTTTTTGATCATAGAATTATTAAGATCTATAGTCAGACATATTACATTTGCAGAAAACTAAAAATTAAAGACAATGTTTAGGTGGCTCAGGTGGTGTTTGGATGTGCGATATCAAAGCAATTATTCATTTGATTAGGTAATTTTACCTTTCGAGGCAGATTATCAGAATCAATAATCTGATTATTCCTACTTAAAGAATCAGAATCAATTAATCACACAATAATTTAATGATACTTGGAAATGGTTAGCTAATTTTAGTTTTAGAATCAGTTTTGCGAACCACCATCAAACGGATTATCGCAACAGGGTCCAGATACCCCTTCAGTAATCTGTCTACATGTGCATTTGTTGCTACGTTTTTACATTATTCTGATAAATTCTAATGATACATGAATCTAAGCAGCCTCCTTTTATAACAGCTAGAAAAACGTCTTCCTAAATACTAACTGAAGGGGTTTGTGGAATTCCTTTTAAATATGCATGTTTGTTTACAGGCGATCACAACCAAAGGCCAAAAAGGAGGAAGTTCCAGGAAAGAAGGCAGTTAATGATGAAGGTGATGACAACTGGGGACCAATTGATGGTAAAATCCCTTATTGTCAATGAGAAACAACAACCATTCTTTTTGGCAATTTAGCTAGGGTTTGTTCTTGCACCCTCAAACTCTCATTTGCTGATCTGTTAAACTTTTGCAATTTGTGTGCACTTTGACTTCTAATGATCTGTTGTTGGCTTTTGGAATGCATTTCTACAACTAGTGGTGTAAAGTGCATGAAATTTTTCCATTAGAAGACACCATAAACAAAAAATAAAAAGTTCCAATCCACGTCTAACAAAGCTTATATTGGCAAACCATTTAAGTACAAAAGCTCCAAACCATTTTGACAAATGAAAGTGGTTCAAGAGTTTAACATGTAACAAAGGCCTGAAGCTCAGTATCCTGTTCCAACTTGTGCATTTTATCTTCACTCAACACAACCCATGCTTCAATTCCATCATCACTACTTGAATCCATAAGCATTATAGAATTCTCATTATTATAATCAGTACCACTAATCCAAACCGGCTTCCCCCACCCAAAATCACTTTCATTAACACTAAACCTACACCAACTACTAAACCTGAACACCCCTAAACCTTTCTGATTGATATACTTTTTTATTTCTCTAAAATTATCTCTCGCTATCTCAACCCCATTTTCACCCATCAAACTCTTCAAGTACTCACCATCAATCTTCCTAAAAGACCCCTTCAGTTTCCCCACAAGATAACCCATGTCTATTGTCTCATGAGCCACCGCACTAGCCATCTGAAAAAGATTCCCGAATTGTTGATCTTTTAACGAAGGCACCATCTTTCTCCTAAAGTTTACCACATGAAAAGCCACCGAGTCTTTACAACCAGACACAGTGGCCATACACTTCCATATCAAGGCCGTCACCACCTCGACCCTGGTGGGGTTGTTCAACCCCACCAGGGTCGTATCGGCCTTGACCACTTTGTGTTTCAGTTCCTTTATTGCTAAGGAACTGAACACAAACCTCTTGGTTACAAGTTTCTTGAACGGGTTGTCAACTGGTGGGCCCCTTCCACTGTATTGATACGAGTCCACCGGAGGGAATAGAACCGCCGAGTCAAGACTTGGACCCGTCAAAGGACCCTCGGGTCCTTTAGCCATAGCGAACCAGTGGCTTACGAAAGACGAAAAGCTACACGCGTCTGCTACTCTATGAGACATGGATACACCAACTGCTATGCCACCACAATCGAACAAGTTAACTTGGATAGCCACCTGTTCTTCAACACATGATGATGATGATGATCCCATCAACACAAGTTGTTTCAATTCTTCGATGACTGGAGTTGTGATGATGGTCATGAGATTGCATTCGACTCTGGCTAATGAAAACTGAACCCCTTCATCGGTACAGTCAATGGTGTTTTGGTTGTTGGTCAACCTTCCGGCTAAAGGGTAGAAATGAGTCAAGGTTTTGGAGAGTGAGGTTTTGAGTTTGGTGGTCATTTTGGACTGTGATATGGTGGTGTTGGATGCATCATATGAGTAGTAAAGAATGAATGGGATATGATGAGGATGGATTTGTTGATCTATGTAGGAGAGTTTGTAGGTTTTGAGGTTGGAAGGAGTTGCATTTGATGGTATGATAACTTCTTTTGAGAGTAGAGTCACCTTCATTTTAGGGTTCTAGAGAGAACAAGTATTTGAGATTGATGAGTTGAGTGCTAGTAGATTAGAAGAATGAAAATCTTAATATATTTGACATGGGTTTGGGGTCACTTGAGGACATGTGTTCAAAGAAGATACGTTAAATAAGATAAGTAGTTAATTAAACTGTATATTGCTGATGTGTTGGCATGGGGGGTGGGTGGGGGTAAGGGACCACCCCACTTGAGGCTCAAAACAGTATGTGTTTGTGGAAGAAAGGAGCATATGTGAAGCCTTGAATTAGCAAATTAATGAATCAAATCTCTCTTTTCATGGCAAAAAACATATTAAATGACTAGTGAATGTGCATCTGTCAGTGAAAAAGCATCAGGTGGTTCCCTTCTTTAGTTTTTATGGGCAGCACATTGCGATTGCTCTCGCCTACATAGAATTTCTCGAAAAGTGAACCATAAAAACAAAAATTGGGATTGTTTTTTTGATGGGTAATTTTAGCTTGAAAAATTGACCCATCAGTGGTAGTTGTAGTTTGGCTGCATTAGTTGTGAAACAGCACAAAGGTACATGCACGATTTAAAGGAATTGATTTTGTTAGAGGAATTGATTGAGAAAATTACTAACAATAATGGCCAAAATAATTGTCTTCTTTATTGCTTCAAGTCGTGTGGCCCTTTGGGAGAAAAACAAATACAAGATAGCAACATATATCAGATTTTTTTAATTTTGAGTAATATATTTTAGTTCTAGAAGTACTGAAATATAAATATATAAACAACAAAACAAATAATATAACATATTGGTTTGGTGACAAATGAGACAAATCATGATCATAATTAGTTGACATCATATTATATTCTGTCATCGTCCTATCCTTATCATCCTACTTGTATAGTCATCATCTTCCAATGAGACCTCTTGTTCTTGTATTTTTTTTTCTAGGTTCTTTTCATTGTCATTGTCAAATGATAAAGCTATGCAAAAGTGATCATATCTTGAGCCAAAGGCTCTTTGGTGGTTAGTCCATCCTCAGTAAGTACGTAAAAAGGTGGTTACATGTTTGACTTAGTGGTAGAGAGGTAAAATATCCACAAGTGATCATGTTCTAGGTTCAAGTACTTGCATAACTTGGGCCAATGTTGTAAATAACGCTAGGCATGACTTGATGACAATATCAAATCTCAAGTTTTTATAAGTTGTTTACGAGCCATGTTGTGTGTAAGGTTTGACTTAAGATGATAATATATATATATATATATATATATATATATATATATATATATATATATATATATATATATAACTTAAGGTGACATTTTGTTAAAGTGTGACGTCAAGTACGAGTTTTGGAACCATGGTGTGCCATGACGAGTATTTTAGAACCTTGAGTAAGGCATTATACTTGCATCTTCTATGTGAATTTTTTAGAACGACTAAAGCAGTCTCTAAATCATCCTCTTAACTACTCATTTGTCCACTAGATGATTTGAATCCTCAACCTATAGGGATGATTACATTTTTAAACACCTTTATATTATTATCGTTAGATCAAAAACCCCTTGGTACCTCCGCCATGATAGTTATGGTATTGCATATTAGTGTGATTAATTGTCGTTAAACAACTAAGATTTTTAAGTGTAAAGCTTAAGTAAATGTTCTTAATAGTGTTCAATAGTTGTTAGGGAGGAGGAGTCATTCCCTCCCAACCCACTCAATTCGGTTTCACATCAATTTTTTTTTTCTTTTTTCTTCATCTTTTCTTAACTCACAACACATGAAAATTCTATTTTTTTCAACCCTCAATTAAACAAAAACAAAACAATTAAAGTACAAGTCTAACTACAAGCCACATAATCGTTAATCATTCCTTTAATTCGTTAGGTTTTTGGCCTCTTCCTTTTGGTTTGATGGCAGCTCGGTGACAACTTATCATTAATTTGTTCCATGGACTTTTGCTATCTTCCAACCGCAAGTCACTTAATTGTTAAAACAAAGGTACACCAACCAACTTAATCATTAAACAAAGATAAACCAACCACCGAGTGATGTTTGGAGTCACATGTATCGAGTCAAGGGGAGCTGACATTCGACTTATTTCTTGTTTAGATGACAACTCTTGGTTGGATGACAACTCATACGAGAATGACTTGCATTTAATTTATGCATATTTTTTGACACATGCATGTACGCACACGCACATACGTTTTTCGTTAGGGACAAAAGGTTCCTAACCTTATTTTTCTGACAAAAATCAAATTCTCTATTTATAATTTTTATAAAATAGTCATTTCTATATATATTTTAGAGTAATAATCAAATATATTATAACAAGTCTAAGAAAGTGGTCATTTTCTTTAATATGTACAAAATTGATACAACATGGAGGTGGGTATAGAACAGGAAAAGCCTTGGGCTCCTTATTATCGTCGGGAACACCGACCACCTCTTCGAGTTCCACATGAAAGAGGCAGTTGTTCCTATTTTTCCCGAGCATCTTTGGCATCTCTCAATCTCTTCAAGCGATACCTTGTGCAGGGGCAAACTTATGTGGTGCCTGGGGTCCCGGGCCACCATTCTGTTTCCGGCTTTTTTTTTTTTTTTTTTTTTTTTTTTTTAATTAGGTGCAACGTTTTGAAATATAAATGTAATTACGATTTTAAATGTGTTCGAAATTTTCTTTTTGGTGCCTCCACTACTAAAGTTTCTGCATCCGCAATTGACCTTATTCATGTGCATGATTGTTTGTACCAAAATATGAGGGAAGTCAGGGAAGGCCATTTCCATTTCTTTAGGGAAGGAAAGGAAATAGTAAGAAAAAGCCGATGTGGACCTCACATGCATTTGATGTCATTAGGGCCGGTCCTGATGGTGGGCAACCCGGACGACCGTCCAAGGCCCACGACTCTTAGGGGCCCAAAATTTCTGAAATATATAATATATATACATATATAAAATACAAATTGTATGCATATGTCTTCCAAGGGTCCAATTACAAAATTAACTTAATTTTAGCCCAATGAAATAACCTATTTTTATCTAGACTATGGAACGCGTTTTAAAGTAACGTTAAGCAAACACTGCCGTTTAGGGCATCTTTCAGGAATCTACATCAGGTGGGAACCAATTAATCAAATCGATACCTCGTGAATCCTAATCATTTCCTCGTGAATCATAATCAAAATTATGATTCAAAATCAGTTATATTGTGTAACTTCTTTCCTTCTCGTAGTCTCTTACCAGCCATCAGATTATAATCAGTTATGTCGATTGAATGCAAATTTGCAAATCACGCAATGAATGATATAAAAACTTGGCTATAGATTTTTTTTTTTTGTTCTTTTTTTCCTCGGATTCTTTTGTTTTTCAACTCTTATTAGTTTTTGATTTGATTTCTTATTCATGTTTCTTATATTTTTTTATTATTTATTTATTTATTTTTTGATTTGGTTTATGCATCCATGTCTCAGATTGCAGGCGACTAGACTATCAATTCTTTCTAACTTTTACCTTCGTTTCATATTTTTTACTTAACAAGGTAATTTTTTTGTAGATATCTGATTCAGAACTCAAAAATTTAAATCCAATTCTAATTTTTCTGATGTTTTAGTGTTGTATCTGATTTTATTTTGTATTTACGTTTCCGGTCCTGGTATCTAATCAAATGTTGAACGCTTATATATATATATATAT